GGTGTCCCTGTTGCTCTACTTCTGATCCACCTCCCTGCAAATGCACCTGGAAAGGTAGCAGAAGATAGCCCAAGTATTTGGGCCCCTGCCACCAATGTGAGAGGCCTGGATAGAGTTCTAGGCTCCTGGCATCCATCTGGGCCAGAGCCTATGTGCCCATGGTTATGATACAGAGAGTGAACCAGCAGATGGAAGGTCTTTCTTTCTTTCTTTCTTTTTGAAGATTTAAATAAAAAGATTTATTTTATTTATTTGAAAGAGTTACAGAGAGAGGTAGAGACAGAGAGAAAGGTCTTCCATTGCTGGTTCACTCCCCAGATAGTGCAGCGGCCAGAGCTGGGCCGATCCGAAGCAAGGAGCCAGGAGCTTCCTCCGGGTCTTCCACGTGGGTGCAAGGGGCCCAAGGACTTGGGCCCCCTCCTACTGCTTTCCCAGGCCATAACAGAAAACTGAATTGGAAGAGGAGCAGCCGGGACTGGGTGCTTCAGGTCAGGGCTTTAACCCACTGTGGCACGACACTGGCCCCGGAAGGTCTTTCTGTTTCTCCCTCTCTCTTTTTAACTCTTATTAAAAATAAGTAAATAAAAACCACTGCTTGAGATGCTCACATCTCATAATGGAATGCCTGGGTTTAAGATGCATCATCACTTGTGATTCCAGCTTTTTACTGGTGCAGACTGGCAGAGGCAGCGGTAATGGCTCAAGTAGTTGAGTCCCTGTTATCCACATGAGAGGCATGGATTGAGTTCTTGGGCCATTCCTGGCTATTATGGGCATTTGGGAAGTAGACAGGTGGATCAGAGTTCTGTCTGTCACTCTTTCTCTCGCTCCATCTGTGTGTCTCCCTGCCTTTTAAAGAAATAAATTGGCCGGCGCCGCGGCTCACTAGGCTAATCCTCCACCTTGGGGCGCTGGCACACCGGGTTCTAGTCCTGGTCGGGGCGCCGGATTCTGTCCCGGTTGCCCCTCTGCCAGGCCAGCTCTCTGCTGTGGCCAGGGAGTGCAGTGGAGGATGGCCCAAGTGCTTGGGCCCTGCACCCCATGGGAGACCAGGAGAAGCACCTGGCTCCTGCCTTTGGATCAGCGTGGTGCGCTGGCCGCGGCGGCCATTGGAGGGTGAACCAACGGCAAAAGGAAGACCTTTCTCTCTGTCTCTCTCCCTCACTCTCCACTCTGCCTGTCCAAAACAAAACAAAACAAAACAAAAAAACAAAATAAAGAAATAAATTTAAAAAATTTTTTTAATAAAATGAAGGGTCGTGTTTGGTTCTTTGGAGTTAAATTTTGTTAAAAATCTTAGTGTAGCATCTGTGTATGCTTGAGGCAAGCATCATCATTCTTTTTTTTATTTTTATTTTATTTTTTTATTTAGTAAATATACATTTTCAAAGTACAGTTTATGAATTACAATGGCTTCCCCCCCCATAATTTCCCTCCCACTCGCTCCCCTCCCATCTCCCGCTCCCTCTCCCGTTCCATTCACATCAAGATTCATTTTCAATTCTCTTTATATACAGAAGATCGATTTAGTATATATTAAGTAAAGATTTCATCAGTTTGCACCCATACAGAAACGCAAAGTGTAAAATACTGTTTCAGTACTAGTTATAGCATTACTTCACATTGGACAACACATTAAGGACAGATCCCACATGAGAAGTAAGTACACAGTGACTCCTGTTGTTGACTTAATAATTTGACACTCTTGTTTATGGGGTCAGTAATCTCCCTAGGCTCTAGTCATGAGTTGCCAAGCAAGCATCATCATTCCAAAACACTAGATATTTAAAAAAAAAAAAAGATTTACAGGGCCGGGCTGTGGCGCAGTGGGTTAAAGCCCTGGCCTGAAGTGCCGGCATCCCGTATGGGTGCCAGTTCTAGTCCTGGCTGCTCCTCTTCCAATCCTGCTCTCTGCTGTGGCCTGGATAGCAGTGGAAGATGGCCCAAGTCCTTGGGCCCCGGCACCCACGTGGGAGACCCAGAGGAAGCTCCTGGCTCCTGGCTTCGGATCAGCACAGCTCTGGCTGTTGCAGCTATCTGGGGAGTGAACCAGTGTCTGGAAGACCTCTCTCTCTGTCTCTACCTCTCTCTGTAACTCTGTCTTTCAAATAAATAAAATAAATCTTCAAAAAAAAATAAAAATAAAAAAGATGTAGGACCTTGTGAATATAATCACAAAAAAATCTAACTTTGTTTTAAGAATAGGAATCAAAGAATAAGTTCTCCCTACCTCCCTTTTGTATGAAAGATAGTTGTTTAAAATTCTTGATCAGGAATTAGGTAGCCATTTCAGATGGGAAACCCGATATTAAAAAGTTAGATATGTAGCAGTACTCATTTATCATTTATGTTTTTAAAGGATTTTATTAGGAAGTTTATATAAATTTTATACTTTGGATTTGCTAATTGGAGGTAGGATTCCCTTGTGATTTTTTCAGAATTCTGGAAGTGTCTTGCTTTGTGAACGTTTTGTGATTGTGATGGCCTCACAGTTTGATCCTTTGGGGGAAGTTACAAAAAACTAATGATGGAAAAAAGCTTGTGATTTTATATAATAGGATAGTTAGTATAGATGGAAGGAAGAAGTATATGGGGAGAAAGATGTCTAAAATGACCATCTTTCTTGCTATATGTTCTTTTTCCTAAGTAAAATCAAAATGGACAGTAAGAGTTTGAAGAAAGTCTGACCACTAAGTGGCTTAAATCGTAGTGAATTTTGACATTTTGGAATTTGTTCTGGTACAAAACTGTGTATATTAGTTGAGATTTTTCAGTTGCAAGTAACAGAAAATAAGTTGTCTCTGATTAGGCAAAAGAAAAATGTATTACAAAGTTGCTCACTTGGTTGTAAGAAAGAAGTTAACCAGAATAACTGAATTTAGTCATGAAGTGATCCTAATCCAGCCTTTTTCTTCCTGTCTTCTGATTGGCCCACCTTTAGTCATGTTCTGACCAAAGGGGGGGTGGGGTCAGGATTTGTTTGTATGCGAAGGAGATAAGGAAGAATGCATTTTGGGCAAACACAAGCAGTACCATTACTCCAGGCAACAAGTCCACAGTATAGCTCCTGTGTCAACTTGTATTTAAAATACTCTTGGAGAGCTGGCGCCACGGCTCACTAGGCTAATCCTCCGCCTAGTGGCGCCGGCACACCGGGTTCTAGTCCCGGTTGGGGCGCCGGATTCTGTCCTGGTTGCCCCTCTTCCAGGCCAGCTCTCTGCTGTGGCCAGGGAGTGCAGTGGAGGATGGCCCAGGTGCTTGGGCCCTGCACCCCATGGGAGACCAGGAAAAGCACCTGGCTCCTGGCTCCTGCCATCGGATCAGCGCGGTGCGCCGGCTGCAGCGTGCCGGCCGCGGCGGCCATTGGAGGGTGAACCAACGGCAAAAGAAGACCTTTCTCTCTGTCTCTCTCTCTCACTGTCCACTCTGCCTGTCAAACAAAACAAAACAAAACAAAACAAAAAACTCTTGGAGTTTTTTTAAAATTAGTCTTACTGGAAAACAGGACTAGTACTACTGTGCTCTGTATGTACTAGACACACAATTTATTAAGGCACTTTGCCTCTTTCTATTATATTATTTCTGTATTTTCATGGCTATTTACCTATAGCTTTGCCTTATTTAAGTATATTACCCATCTTAATTTCAGATCATGTTTACAAGCTAAGAGTCTGGTATTCTGTAACACTGGTAATCTGTGTGACCACAAAGAAAGATCTTTCCTTCTAGCTAATTCAGGGAGCATGTCTGTATTTCTTCATGCCAGCAGTGCTTAATGTTATATTTCAGTTTCTAGGGTTGTCCACAAGTGACTCATGAAGAAGCAGTGCTTACGCCAAGACAAATGACGACTTCACTTGCCTGAAAGCAGTAGACCTCTTTTTTTAAAGATTTTTTTATTTATTTGAAAGTTAGAGTTACTCACAGGAGAGGCAGAGAGAGAGAGAGAGGTCTTCCATCTGATGGTTCACTCCCCAATTGGCCGCAATGGCCAGAGCTGTGCTGATCCAAAGCCAGGGAGTTAGGAGCTTCTTCCAGGTCTCCCACGTGGGTGCAGGGATCCAAGGACTTGGGCCATCTTCTACTGCTTCCCCAGGCTACAGCAGAGAGCTGGATCTGAAGTGGAGCAGCCGGGTCTTTAACCGGCGCCTATTTGGGATGCTGGTGCATCAGGCCAGGGCGTTAATCCACTGCACCACAGCACCGACCCATGTAGAACCTCTTTAATGGATATATTCTGCTCTGACCTCTTTTTTTGGATAGTCATTTATTTATATATTTATTATTTATTTAAAGATTTAATTTTATTTATTTCAGAGAGAGTGAGTTACAGACAGAGATGGAGAGGGAGAGGGAGAGGCAGAGAAAAAGGTCTTGCACCTGCTGGTTCACTTCCCAAATGGCCACAATGGCTGGAGCTGAGCCAGTCCGAAGCCAAGAGCTTCTTCTGGGTCTCCCACTTGGGTGCAAGGACCCAAGTGCTTGGGCCATTTTTCACTGCTTTCTCAGTCGATAGCGGGAGAGCAGCCAGGACTTGAACTGGCGCCCATGTGGAATGCCAGTGCTGCAGGCAGAAGCTTAGCCTGCTGCACCACAGTGCTAGCCCCTTTCTGTAGTCTTTTAAAAAAAAGTTACTCCGTTGCATGATTTAGAAAGGAAGATAATCTTTATGGGATAGTTGAAAGGGTATGATACTCGAAATAAAAAGACTTGATTTGGGTCTTGCTGTAACTTTTGGATTAGTTGTGTTTTTTTTGCACTTTATTGTTATTAATAAAAAGGGTGAAATGACATTTTGTCTACAGCCTAGATATGGGAGAAAAAAGTGATTCGCTTTTCTTAGGAGTTTTGAGCTTTTCTTGTTTCATTTTTTTAAATGAGGTAGCCTCTTTTAGCTCTGAAACTTCAAAGTTTGATTCTTTGTTTAAAATAACTGTTCTAGAAATGTTTTTTCCTTTTGCAGGACTCATCATATGAAACATTTCTTTCCCCTTAAACAGGCAGTTGCAGTGTCGCAGAATGGCTGACCTCAGTCTTGCAGATGCACTAACAGAGCCATCTCCAGAAATTGAGGAAGAGATAAAGCGGGACTTTATTGCCACGCTGGAGGCAGAGCCCTATGATGATGTTGTGGGAGAAACTGTTGGAAAAACAGACTATATTCCTCTCATGGATGTTGATGAGAAAACAGGAAACTCAGAGTCAAAGAAGAAAACATGCTCAAATACTAGCCAAGTTGAAGGTAAGTATTTAAACCAAATTGGATATATGAGTATATGTTCATAAATAGATTGATGATTATGCTTTGGCTCATCATCTTGGAAACCTTGAAAAAACCGAGCTGAATTTTTCTTCCATCTGGTGGTTCACTCCCTAAATGCCTGTAACAGGCAGGGCTGAGCCTTGCCAAAGCCAGGAGCCCAGAAGTACATCTGGGTCTCCCACATTGGTGGCAGGGATACAAGAACTTGGGCTGTCATTAGCTGACTTCCCAGGAAGCTGAATTGGAAGTGGAGGAGGGGCTGTCACTGTGGTGCAGTGGGTTAAAGCCCCAGCCTGCAGCGCTGGGATCCCATATGGGTGCAGGTTTGAGACCCTGCTGCTCCACTTCTGATCCAGCTCTCTGCTATGGCCTGGGAAAGCAGTAAAAGATGACCCAACTACTTGGGCCCCTGTCTCTCTCTGTCTCTACTTCTCTCTATAACTCTGTCTTTAAAATAAAATAAATCTTGCCGGCGCCGCGGCTCACTAGGCTAATCCTCCGCCTAGCGGCGCCGGCACACCGGGTTCTAGTCCCGGTCGGGGCGCCGGATTCTGTCCCGGTTGCCCCTCTTCCAGGCCAGCCCTCTGCTGTGGCCAGGGAGTGCAGTGGAGGATGGCCCAGGTGCTTGGGCCCTGCACCCCATGGGAGACCAGGAAAAGCACCTGGCTCCTGGCTCCTGCCATCGGATCAGCGCGGTGTGCCGGCCGCAGCGCGCCGGCCGCGGCGGCCATTGGAGGGTGAACCAACGGCAAAAAGGAAGACCTTTCTCTCTGTCTCTCTCTCTCACTGTCCACTCTGCCTGTCAAAAAAAAAATAAATAAATAAAAAAAATAAAATAAAATAAATCTTAAAAAAAAAATAAAAAGGAAGAAAGTGGAGGAGTTAGGACTTGAACCAACACTCCAGTATGTGATATGGACTACTAACCTGCCATGCAATAATACCTATCCTTGAATTTTTTTAAATCACTTAATTTATTTGAAAGTCAGAGTTACACAAAGAGAGAGAGAGAGGCAGAGGGGGATGGGGAGAGGTCTTCCATCTGCTGGTTCACTCCCCAATTGGTTACAATGGTGGGAGCTGCACCCATTTGAGGCCAGAAGCCAGGAACTTCCTCTCAGTCTCCTACACGGGTTCAGGGCCCAAGGACTTGGGCCATCCTCTACTGCTTTCTCAATTTCTATATTAGGTTTGTTAATATTTGAGTATTTTTGCATCTGTTCATGAGGGATATTAGATTTTAGTTTTCTTGTAATGTTATTGTGTAGTTTTACTTTTTATTTAAAATTTTTGGACTGTATTTTTTAAAAAAAGATATATTTATTATTTGTTTGAAAGAGTTACACAGAGATAGAAGGAGAGGCAGAGAGAGAGAGAGGTCTTCTATCTGCTGGTTCACTCCCCAGTTGGCTGCAACGGCTGGAGCTGCACTGATCTGAAATCAGGAGCCAGGAGCTTCTTCCAGGTCTCCCACGTGGGTGCAGGGGCCCAAAGACTTGGGCCATCTTCCACTGCTATCCCAGGCCATAGCAGAGAGTTGGATTGGAAGTGGAGCAACCAGGACTCGAACCAGCACCCATATAGGATGCTGGCACTGCAGGTAGTGGCTTTACCCACCATGCCGGCCCCAGGACTGACTTTCAGTAGATCACAGTGAGTGAGCTGCTCTGCTTTGTAGAAAACCCTGACCCAGAAGCAAGTCATCTATGTATGGTCTAGCAACAGGCGTTGCCTGACCTGTCACAGGGCGACCCCCTTTCCAGCCCCACTCCGTCACTGGGATAAAGGACACTCTGCACTTACCACAGTCTGATGCGTGGAATGCGTGCATCTTGTTGAATTTTAGAATTGAGATCTTGATAACTTCATAAAATAAGTTGGGAAGTGTTTCTTTCTCTTATGTTTTCTAAAGCAGTTTGTGTAGAATTGATATTTTTTTCCCTTTTTTAAATGTTTGATAAAATCACTGGTTAAAGTCATCAGGACTCGAAATTTTCCTTGTCAACTTTTTAAATTAGAAATTCATTTTTTTTAATTGTTCAGAATAGGTTTCTTCTCAAGTAAGTTTTGGTAGTTTGTATCTCTCAAGAATTTCTTGGTCTTTTTGTAAAAATTGTAAGATTACCTTATTCTTTTACCAGCTGTAGGATCTGTTGTCACATCGTCTTGTTTCATTCCTTATATTGGTATTTGTGTTCTTGCTAAGTCTAGAGAGCACTTTATCAATTTTGATTTTTTTTGAAGATCCAGTTTTTGGTGTCTTTTTTTTTCCCTGTTGTCTTTGAATTTCTGCTCGTATCTTTACTATGCCTTTCTTTCTGTTTACTTTGAGTTGATTTATGCTCTCTTATTTTTTCAGGTGGCAACTTAGATAATTGATTTGAGACATTTTTTCTTTCTAAATGAGCATTTAATGTTCCACGTTACCTTCTAATCACAATTTTAGCTACATCCCATGGATTTTTGTATGATATGCTGTATTTTTACTTTCATCTAGTTAAATATTTTTCTAATTTCCTTTGAGAGTTTCTCTTTGGCCTATGGGTATTTACGAATATCTTTTTTGGGCTGGCATTTTAGTATAGCATGTTAAGCTACCACCTGCAATGCCGGCATCCTATATAGGCACCAGTTTGAATTCCAGCTGCTTAACTTTTTTTTTTTTTTTTTTTGACAGGCAGAGTTAGTGAGAGAGACAGAGAGAAAGGTCTTCCTATTTTATTTTATTTTATTTTATTTTTTATTTTTGACAGGCAGAGTGGACAATGAGAGAGAGAGACAAAGGTCTTCCTTTGCCGTTGGTTCACCCTCCAATGGCCACCGCGGCCGGTGCGCTGCGGCCCACGCACCACGCTGATCCGAAGGCAGGAGCCAGGTGCTTCTCCTGGTCTCCCATGGGGTGCAGGGCCCAAGTACTTGGGCCATCCTCCACTGCACTCCCTGGCCACAGCAGAGAGCTGGCCTAGAAGAGGGGCAACCGGGACAGAATCCGGCGCCCCGACCAGGACTAGAACCCTGTGTGCCGGCGCCACAAGGCAGAGGATTAGCTTAGTGAGCTGCGGCGCTGGCACCAGAAAGGTCTTCCTTTTTCCATTGGTTCACCCCCCAAATGGCTGCCATGGCCAGCTTGCTGCGCCGATCCAAAGCCAGGAGCCAGGAGCTTCCTCCTGGTCTCCCATGCGGTTGCAGGGCCCAAGCACTTGGGCCATCCTCCACTGCACTCCCGGGACACAGCAGAGAGCTGGATAGGAAGAGGAGTAACCAGGACAGAATCCGGCGCCCCAACTGGGATTAGGAGCTGCGGCGCCAGCCGCTGCTTAACTTCTGATCTAGCTCCCTGCTAATATTTCTGGGAAAGCAGCAGAAGATGACCCAAATCCTTGGGCCCCTGCACCTACATTGGATACCTGGAAGAAGATTCTGGCTCTTGGCTTTGGCCTGACCCAGCCCAGGACATTGTGGCCATTTGGGAAATGAACTAGCAGATCGAAGAACATACTCTCTGTGTCTCTCCCTCTTTCACCAGCCTCCAAATACTTTTTTTTTTTAATTGAATTTCTTTTTTTTTTCCTAAGATTTATTTATTTATTTGAAAGTCAGAGTTACATACACATACAGAGAGAGAGAGAGAGAGGTCTTCCATCCGCTGGTTCACTCCCAAATTGGCCACAATAGGCAGAGCTGTGCCTATCCGAAGCCAGGAGCCAGGAGCTTCTTCCAGGTCTCCCACATGGGTGCAGGGGTCCAAGGACTTGGGTCATCCTCTGCTGCTCTCCCAGGCCAAAGCAGAGAGCTAGATTGGAACTGGAGCAGCCGGGTCTTGAACCAGCGCCCATATGGGATGCCAGCACTTCAGGCCAGAGGGTTGACCTGCTGCGCCACAGCGCCGGCTCCCAAATACTTTATTTTTTTAAATACAGAAAGAATTTTTTCTCTTTCTCTTTTTGCTTCAAAAATGGTGTCTGGCCCAGCAATCTGTTTTAACAAGCATTCGCAGGTAGTTGGAACCATCTCCACGACTGGGAAATAGTAACGGAGGGGAAAGGGCTTAAGTTGCCCTGGAAAAATGGTAACTAACTAGGTATTTCAGAATTTCTCTGTTTAGCTGGCTGGGCCCTTGTTTTGTCAAGCATTGCAGCCTACCTTCATGGACACCAGAGGGCAGTGTTGATATGAGAATGATTTAAGTTCTAGAGGGTACCCTTGTAGTGAGAGACTGTGTGGAATCCTTTCTGTTTTTCCCGAACTGATTCACTATGGGTCTTTCTCACAGCTTCTTGTTATTCCTTCCCTGCTAACCTTGTGAGCTATGGGAGGGAACCTCTAAATTTTGTGTGGTGGTTTTGGGGGGTTGGATTAAAAAGTGTGAATTTGAATGTCTCTGTAACTCGGAGACTGTCATTACAGAAATATGTGCTATTTTCCAGTGTTGTATGTGTTTAGCTTTAAAGTTTTCATGTGTTGAAGATACTCTTGGGAAAATTAATTAGAGCACATAATACAGCATCTTTTGAATTAGGACTTACCCAGTAATGGGCTGCATTCCAATGATAAGGGTCCAGCACATCTTACCTAGCAGAGAAATATGCAGGCCTTTTTTCTACTCTAAAACCTCATTGTCTTTATGTTTTAATATTGTTTTTATTGTCTCCTGGACTTATATTTTATGTTTTTATTTTCATTTTATTTGAAAGAGAGGGTGAAACAGAGAAATCTTCCATCTGTTGATTCACTTACCAGATGGGCACAGCAGCTGGGACTGGACCAGGCTGAAGTCAGGGACTTAGAACTCAATCCAGGTTTCTTACATGGGCAGCAGAGTCCTAATTCCTTGAGCCGTCATCTGCTGCTTCCCGTGGTAAGCATTAATGGGAAGCTGGATTTGGAAACAGAGCTGGGACTTGAACCCATGCATGGCAATATGGGATGCAGGCATTCCATACAGTGTTTTAACCACTACACCAAAAGCCTACCCTAGG